AAAAAAAGATATTTCCTTGAAAGAAGAGTGGAGATCTTCTTACTATCCAAATAGATGTTTTGGGAAGCCAAAGATCATTCCTCTGCGCCTGTGTGAGCAAAGCTTCTTAAGCCAGGGAGCTCTGATTGCTCGACTGAATGAGTCACACAAAAATAGACCTTCAGACTGAGATTGCAGTTCCAGGTATTTGCTCCCAGAGGCTGGTGCTGCTTGAACATGGCCACAGGCACAGGTCAGCTGCTGGTGGTAGAACGTATTGATTTTTGAAGACCCGAGCGATAAATGAAATAATGGAAAGCTCAGCGCTTCTCTCCCAGAGCCTGCCTGGCTGTTATACCAGCTCACCACTCCAGGCAGGAACCCTCATTTACGGGAACGTGCTTATTTTTGCCTATCCATGATGTATTTTTGATGCACTTGATTAAGTATGATGGATTTGGCCCCAGGAAATACCACCATAGTTTATAAATAGTTCCGGGGGTGTACAAGGTTCCTGGAATTACAGCAGTATTTTTGTTTTTATGTACTTTATTATTTTTGTTTAAAAACCAACTCTGGCCCAAGTATGCTTGATTTTTCTTCCAAAACACATCTTGGTGAATTTCTAGAAACGTGCATACTAGGTCTTTCTCTCAAACACTTCCCAGCACAAACAAATCGCAGATCGCAGTTCTTCATTATATCTCACATTTAAAACTGAAGCCCCCCACCCCAACTCAAAGCTCAGCTGTGGAATCATGTTTTATTACTTGGCAACAGTGCAAGCTAACAGTTTACCTTTGATGCTGTTTGTTTTTTAAGGCTTCTCAGCAATTCCACGAGACCCAGCAAGGCAGGATTTTATCATCATCTACCTGACTCCTTCTCTCTCTGCCCCATTTGCAAACCCCAACAGAAATGGAGATCTTCACCCTGTTCAACAGACCCAAGAGCCATCAGAAGTGCCGGCAGTATTACCCGGTCACCATCCCGCTCCGGGTCTCCAAAAATGGCCAGACAGTGAGCAGCTTGGATGCCAACTGGCTGGAGCACATGAGTGACCACTTCCGGAAAGGAGGCGTGCTGGTGAACGCAGTCTTCTACCTAGGCGTCATCGATGGTATGGAAGACCCCGCCCCGGGTGGCCCTAGTCACGTCTGCCTCTCCCTCTTGCCATCTTCACCCATCCACACAGCCTGCCCCATTCAGAAAGCTGCTCAGCTAATAAACATGCAGCCTTTGATTTGTAATTAACACATCTCCAGGAATTTTCCACCGAGCCCATGACCTGTGCTCCCCGGAGACAGCCAGGTAACATCTAAAATGACAGAGACAGGGGAGTTGATTCAGTTTCCTTGATGGTGGCCTCCATCAGTGGTGCTTCTAAAGGCTTTTAAAAAGATGATTCCCCTGGTTTGTTAATTACCCCCTGGGATCATGCGTTCTGAAAGTGCAAATTGTTTGTAGACACTATTACAGTTTGAAGTAGCAGAGGCAGCACCTTGGAATTAACAGCAGGGAATGAAGCGAACAGCCTGTTTTCTGTAAGCTCTGTACACTGTTCCTGGACCTCCTGGCACCCAGTAATGGGTTATCTCGGGGGGACAGGGTTGGGGTACGCCTTGGAGTAGCACTAGTGCTGTGAGCTGTGCTCAGGCAGAGTGAAAGTTGGCCCTCCGTGGGGCAGAGTGTGGAATCGAGGTTCAAGTTCACATGAAGGCAAGTCGCATCACTGGGGTGCCTGGGGGGGCATGCTGGGGAATGGGGCCAGCACGCCAGCATGTGTGGGTCCTCAGGGCTGCTGTCACAGGATTCCGGAGCAAATGAAACGTAACACCAAATTTGCTGATCTAGGCAAATCCTGGCAGGGGGCATCGGCAGCCCCACGTCTTGGTGGTTAAGCAGTTTTTCCCCAAGAATTAGCAGAGTCAGGAACAGCATTTGGATTCGAATGTACGTGCAAGCCTTAAAGTACCAGCCAGCAACCTTAGAGGAGACATCTTAATTCTGGTGGTACGAATTTGAAATCATCCAAAGCCTGAACTTGGCACAGCACAGACGGGTCTTAAGCTTGGGTGCAAATCCGTGTTACTATCTAAATGCTAGCATCCAGTGTTGACATGTTATAGACTAGCAGGAAGCCTTGTGCAATGGGCCACACCATTTGTGGAGAGGATGGATGACATCAGAAAGTTGATTGCTTATTATGAATGCACCCTTTAGAGCAGCAGCATCCAATCAAATGTCCTGCAGTTACCAGAAAGTTCTATATTTGTGCTGCCCAACACAGTAATCCCCAGCCATTCATAGCACTGACCACTTGAAATGTGGCTAGAACGATGGAAGAACTGACTTTTAAGATGTATTTAATTTGCGCAAATTTAAGTATAAATAACCTTAGGTGGCCCATGGCCAGTGCATTCCTAGTGTGTACATTTCATGAGCAGCACTAATGAAGGGTCATTCTGTTCCCTGGAGATGAGGTGGAAAACCTCCTTCCACACAAGGGCCTCTTCCCTGGGTGCCTGCACAGTCCCTGAGATCAAGGACTGCGTGAGCTGTCTTGAGAGGTGCATAAAACACCAGTGGCCTATGTGCTTGGGCTGTCTTGACCCACTGGCATTGGGGGCGATCCGGGAGGAGCCCTCTGACCCCCACTTCCCCACTTCCTGCAGGAACACCCCTAGCATCTAGGGTTGTAGCAACAACAGCTCCTTGATCTCTTCCTGGTGTTCTCAGAAGCTGTCTCGTGTCGTGTGTAGTTTTCCGTTCTCCCCAGCCAACTGCTGGTGAGTTGTACTGACATCTCACAGATGTGCAGAGAGGCACTGAGGTCGCAGCTGTTCCGGCGGCCACTGGTCATTTCTCCCCCACAGAGGGCATCAGAAAGCGTTCTCTTTGTCCCTATTGCCCAAGTGAGAACTTGAGAATCCCCCATGCCATTATCGTTCATTGTCTTTCTGGCTACATGGCCGTCAAGGCTGACTTAACCACCACCTCTCCCGTACCCCATTTTCCAAATTGAGTCCTGAGACACAGATCATTTATAAAGTTTTTAAATTCAAGTTTGACTGGACTGCTTAAAATGCTGTTATATCCTCCCCTGGCTTTGGTTACATTTAATCCCGCTTTTCTGCCTTGAAGACAGAACGTAAAATTCCCCATGGCAAGTTCGACTATGAAGTCCCAAGTCCCTGGAGTCTCTCCCGCCAGCTCAGGGTGGCTCAGAAAGTCTCAGAATAAAGGCAAGTTAAACCCTCTCAAAATTCAAATATGAGGGAGAATGTGACTTGGGAAAAAAATTTGTGGGTCAGGAAGGGCATTTCTGCTCTGGAAAAGACAGGATTTCCATTGGCCAGGGATGAAATGTGCCTATGTTCTTTTCCCAGAGTAAACAACAACAAGAAGAACGCAAGCTCATCATATTTATGGAAAGACCCTCTTTCTAATGAGATTAATTGTGTCCTTAGAAATAAACCTGACAGAGCTCAAAGCATATCTTTAAGCTCTTTGCTATCTGGAAAGGCACCAGTTTTGACTCTGAAATGGAAGCACCAGATCTCAGTACTGATGCTGTCTAGCAGCCACTCATTTTAACCCCATAGTTCAGTCAAGAAACTGAGGCCCAGGGCAAGACCATCACTGCCAAGGCCACCAGCTAGAAAGTAATCAAGAAAAGGGAAGAAAACAATCAGAAAAGGGAAGGGTGTGGGCAGGGAAATGGAACTTAGGGAGGGCAGAAAAGGAAGGAGGTGATTGTGTTTTGAGAGGGTGAGGCCCACAGCAGTGCCTTGCGGGGCGCTGAGGGAGGTGGAGGGGAGCTCCAGGATCGCTCTTCGGGAATCGGCAGGACCGGGGTCCCAGCCGGGAGTGTAGATGAACTCGGCTTGGTCAGATGGCAGACACAGAGAAAAACTCCAGCCAGCGAGACTGAGTCCAGAATCCAGGCTTCTAGAGGGTGGGAGAGGCCTTTCGGAGAAGCCCTCTGCTGAGCTGGTTGCTGGTGAGGGTGAGACGAGGTAGGGCTGGGTGTCCCTGTGTGAGGACCCAGCCTGGAGCCTGGCTTCAGACCACTGGCTGCCAGGCCCACAGAAGCCCAGGGGCCACCACCTTCTCTCCTGGCCTTGCCCTCCCTCCCTCCTTCCTTCCTGCCCCTACTTCCTCCACCCAGTCTCTGCTGTCTCCCCTCGGGGCAGTCCCTCATCTTCATTCAGCCCTGTATTCAAGTGTCTTCCAGGCTTTCAGAAACACCCTTTGCAGCAAGTTGTCCAAACCAAAACCCCGCCCAGACCGAGTCCTCCCCTGCAGGTGCAAGAGCACAGAAGAGCAGTGCTCCGTGGCCGTGGCCAGCCACCAGGACACCTGCCCCAGCTCTCCTATCCCCCGACTCTGCAGGGTCATCTTTGTCTCTAGAAGAGTCATTTTTGTGACCCCAGACTGCTGAGAATAAGCCAGCTTCAAACGACAGAGCGTCCTGCGTTCTGGCCTTGCACGTCGCGTCTCATGAGGCTCTCTCTCTCCCCAGCCTCTGCTTCTTATAAGCTGGGATTTCATCTGAGGCCTCGGTAGATCAAGCATTATGACTAGACTACTTTCCAGATGATACCATGATACCATGTGAGTCATGGGGAGACACATCTCCCATTCCGACCCCATTACAAGGTCATCTTCCCTGGGACTCTCTTGATGCTTTAGGTGCATCAAAGCCCAAATAACATGTGATGTTTCTACCACTCTTTGACGTCTAGCATAATCTGCATTATTGTATGTTTGAAAAATACATACGTGGAAAAATGTACCTATTTTAAAAAATACATGTAGACACATTATTTATACAGACAAGCTGTAAAGCCAGGGTCGGGTCCTACAGGCTGTATTTCTCAGCACCCTTGTGCCTGTACAACCTCCCCTGTGCGCAGAAGATAACCAGCAGAGATTTCTTGATGCTGCTCAGCTATGTAAGTCCTTCTGGAAACTGCAACTTAAAGCAAAGCTATGTGTAACAAAGCAGGTCCTCAAATAACATCACTTCCTCATCGTTATTTCCTTGGGCTTGCTTTTTTGCTCACCCACATTATAGCAAAATGGCATTGCTGAAGGATCTGCTGTGATGCTGAGAGTGGTAAGAGAAGCTGGTGTCGGAGTCTGTCACCAGAACCCTGCAGAGTCGGGAGATAGGAAAGCTGGGATAGGGAGAATGGAAAGGGAGGGAGAGTGAGTTTCCAGGTGCTTCTGAGAGCCAGGGCACCAGAGCACTGCTTCTCCAGGGAAGTTTGGCCTGGTAATAGGCATGGCTTCTATTCCACAGGAGCCACTTAATAAAGTAGGGGGTAGCCTTTCTCTTACATACTTGGTCTTTAAATCAAGTTTCTGTTGCAGTATAAACTGTACAAATCTCAAGGGTTCATCACTCCATGGATTTCCCCAAGGTGAGCACACTCAGGAAATAGAACATGCCAGCCCTCCTCACTCCCCACCCCCTCATGCACTTCTGTCCCCGGAGTAGCCACAGTCCTGCCTCAAATACCACAGATTACCTTGGAACTTGATGCAAACGGAGTAAGCCCTTGGCTTCTGTCATCCTTTGCTTGTGATTCACCCACATCTTACATGGAATTGGAGATGACATGTCAGTATATACAACCTACTCACTTGCAGGTGTGTGTTTTTTTTTCAGATTTATTTATGTAGGCATACAGAACTGGGGTACAGCCTGGTTACGTGTGGGCACAACCTGTGTGCTCATAGTTAGGCCCTTGGTGGTGCCCGTCCTGGATCCAAGATGGCACTGTGAGAGCCATGTAGCCCTGAGGAGAAGGAGCCCTTTGGGAGCCATGGACACCTGTTGTGCCCACTGCCCCAGTGTGGACAATGAATCTGCTAGTCTAATCTGCTCAAAGGAGAATAATAATGTTTTGTTGAGGCCCCACAAGAGTACAGCACTTACGGGGTACACTTGTCTTGGGGTACATGTGCAGGCTAGATTTCAGAGAACAGCCCTGAGGGGACCCTGAAGGGGAGCTTGCTGGATAGTCTTAATGTCCCCAAGACCGCACGGAAAGAGCAGTTGCCTGGTAGAATTTACCTCTTGGGAGAAGAGGGTAAATCTCTTTCCACACC